GTTAAACGTCCCAGAGGGGAAGTTGCAAGGGCAGACCACTGAAATAAGGCTTTCTGCCTCGGCTCTCTGTTGCTCGGTGTCTTGTGACATTCTGACCTTGTGCTGAAATCTCCCGCTTCCTCCCTCTGCACAGTGTGGGGGCTTCTGTGGGCTGTTCGCTGGGAGCTGCAGGTCCAAGCTGACGGTAGGTGAACGATCCCTTCCAGAGCCACTGCCTGCAGCGGCGTGGCTGTTGCTACGGGATACTGCTCGTCAAATGTTGCCCGGTTTGACGCGGAAGACTGGCAAACCTCACCCCATTTCTGTACCCGTTCTGCTCTTTCCTCACTCACAGAACCGCTCCAGGCTCCCTCCCTGTCTTTCAAATCGCCCCCGGACGGCAGTGACATTCAGCTGTTCTCGCAGATGACCCTGTTGTGCACCCCCCCATACGGAGCCCACTATCCCATGGTCGTAAGTCTGGGAAGGGACATCCAGCCCCGCGTGGAGGAGGTTACATACTCTCTCCGCTCGTTCTCCTCTGTCCTGTTTTACCTGCAAGCCTCGGCGAAAAACGAAGGCACCTTTGTCTGCTGGTACAAAATCAGCCGGACCGGAGAGGTGTCTGCGTCCAGCAAACCCCTCAACATAACCATCTGTGAGTGAATCGCACACAACAAGACAGAAAACACACACATCTATGTGCTTTCTCGAGTCTCAGCCTTTCTGAAGGGCTGGTACTAGTTATTAACTGAGATCCATTTGTTACCAGAGTCACAAAGCATGCTGTGCTATTATGACAACATGGAAAAGTAATTATTTAAAAAAATTACATTTAATGTGCTTTGATTTTTTCCAAGCTCAGTTATTATTTAATGTGTTTGTTGCTGTGGAACAAAATTGCCATGGAAATTTCAAATATTTTTAAATTCAATTAATTTCTTATTTAATTACATAATCTTTACCAAATACCAACCATTTATGGTATCAGCTTAAGACCATTTCCTAAAACCATATACCAACAGCTACCAATTTTGAAATAGGATTTCACAGAAGAGAGAGATGTGCTCTGGCTTGCACACACTTCTTTCAAAAATGCAGTTGTTGTGCAAGTTTATTATATACTGACCTCAGTAGAAAAGGCATGCAATTTCCAATCCATTTAAATAAAGATTGCTTTTGCGGAATAAAAAGGTCGCAGAGCTATTGCAAGTCTGGCTTATGTAAGCTGCTCTGGATAAGAGTGTCTGCAAATGACACTAGTGTGATGTTAACTGCACAGTGTGATGCTGGTATAGTTGCATTTCTACATTTTTGCCACTAGAGAGAAGTAAAGTAAAGCATGGTGGCATGAATTTTTTTGTTGAGGACCAGGACATCTCAGTTTGGATTGACAAAAAAACTCTTAAAAAAAATTCTTTTAGCTGTATGGTCTCTGTCTTGAATTCAGATAACATGGACTGTCAGTGGCATTTTGCAAAGGAGTTCATTTTCTAGATCTAGATAAACCTCACCGTCTGAAGGGGGGGCAGCAGTGAGATGTAGGGGTCACTGCTGTCATATCTCTGGGTAAGCCCAATTGCCTCTGGAAACATCCATCTGTTACATTACATTACTATCACTTAGCAGACACCCTTATCCAGGGCGACTTACATAGGTGACAGTTTTTACACGCTATGCATTTTACTGAAGCAGTGCTGGGATATGTTCCTTGCTCAAGGGTACAACAGCAGTGCCCCAGCGGGGAATCGAACCAGCAACCTTTCGGTTGCCAGCCCCACTCCTTACCACTATGCTACACTGCCGCGAACTGTATATAAAGATAACATGTAAAAACTGTAAGCTAAGCCGCTCTGGAAAACATGAAAAACATGCTCCGATTGGACAGAGTCCGCTATGAATTCTGCTGCTTTTCTCTCTCTCTCTCCCCCAGCCTCTCTTCCCCCTCCGATAGCTTCAGTGCACCCTTTCTTCATTCCTATCGGAGGAAACTACACAGTATACTGCGAGGCACCCGGAAAGTTCTTCAACTTCACCCTCAGTCTGTATGTCCGAGACCTGCTGGGCCCAGAGGCCAAAGGCCCCCCGGAGCTGCTGGGCTCTGTCACTCTGGAGGACAACACCAGACTCCTCCAGGCCGCCAGCAAGAAGATGGACGCCAAGGCCATGCTGGAGTACCTGTGCAAGATGGAGCTCACCTACAACCAGCGCCTGTATCGGTCTCCCTTCTCCTCCTCCGCCTTGGCCAGCGTAGGTCAGTCCTCAGTCCAACCGCCTGTTACAAACAGCATTGTGTTTCCAGAGGTGTTTCATTTCAAAAGCAAAGAAAAAAAGTGCTGAAAGCTAGTTATGCGAAGAGGTGGTGCCGGCTCTAGTTCTGGACTGATACGGCTTTGGGAGTCGTGGCAACTTTCCGCTTTAAACAGGATTGTGCCACACTGAGTCAGCTCTGACATGGCAGATACAAGCAGATGCTGCCCCCTAGAGGCAGTCCATCCAGTTTCCTGTAGCATGCGTTTCAGTGCGAGGTGCCATTTTGGCTCTAATGCTTCAGTAAAATGTCTCATTCTCTGTGTGTGCAATATCGTAGAGGAGGACTGTGGCTGTGTGGATTGAGCTGGCAAAGCACATCACTCTGTAGTGAAGCTATACTTCACATGCTCCCTTGGTAGAATTCTGATTCTCCTCATCAGATCCCATGTGGAGATTTCTGTGTGTGTGTGTGTGAGTTTGTGTTTATATGTGTATCTTGCCACAACTGAATATGCAAGACGAGAAGCACACCATTGTGCTGAGAGAAAGACCAAGACCGCCCGCGGAGATCCTGTCGGACTGCTGCATCATGGGTCTGGTGCTGTCCTGCGTTCTCCCCCACAGAGGAGGCCCCGGTGCGCCTGGTCTCCCAGTTCTCGGGCACGCGCTGCGGGGGGCGGCTGGAGGTGTTCGCGCGGAACGCCTGGTCCGTCGTCTGCCAGGGGGCGAACACGGACACTCTGAACCAGGCGCTGGCGCGAGTGGTGTGCAGGCAGATGGGCTGCGGAGACGTGGCCGTCCAAAGCGTGCTGACCTTCTCCGACCCCCGGCCGGGCACCGTGTTCGTGGGGCCAGTGGAGTGCAGCGGGGAGGAAGCCCAGCTCCGGGACTGCCGCGTCACTAACGTCAGGGACTCCTGCCCGGGAGGAAAGCAGCCGGAGATCGTCTGCACAGGTGAGGGGCACGGCGAGGCGGCCCGCCTTCAGAAACCTCAGAGGAGGCTCAGATGAAGCCAGAGAGCTGACCGATCGCTGTGCGGCGGGTATCACCTGCCTTCAAATTTCCACCATTTATTTTCTTCATATAACGTAGTGTGAACTCTTCCACTACATGACTATATATATTATTAACTCAGTCCAAGGTGCTGAGCCAGGATTTACTGAGTCAATCTTACCAACAGCTAATCAATGCAATGTCTTATTAACACCTTAATTTACTGCGAAATTCAAATATTGAATTCAAGAGGTTTTGTTCAAAGAAAAAAAAGTTATCTTTACTGGAGACTCAGGAAACCAAACCAGGCTTGGTACAAGAGTTCACACACTAAATATGGCAATTCAAGACTGGGCAGAGACATGAACAAAGGGCAGGGCTTAAGTAACAGCGAAAACAGGTGAAACCAATAACTAATTAATGCAGTTGAAAGACCTTAACTGAAAGAGACATGGAACACTGGAAGTGATGAAGCCATCTAGTGGCCATCCTGGGAAGCAGCAGCCCTGACAAGCTGAGTTTTACTGTCTGTTCTCTCTCTCTCTCTCTCTCTCTCTCTCTCTCTCATTTGCCGCCGCAGATTTTCCTGCAGTTCCAGAGCTCTCGGTCCAGGGTTACGGTCGTGTCTCCAGTATTTATGTCCATGAAAAAAGCCCGTTAGTGCTGTCCTGTATGGTGACTGAGCAGTGGATGGTCGATAATGGTGTGAGGGTACAGTTGCCTGAGTTCCTCAAACCTCCTTCTCTCATAATACATGTGGCACCTAAGAGGTTAATTCATGATTGTCTTAGGTATCAGGTTTCATCCGAGTTGGGGGTGGGTCGTTGTTTTTAGTACCAGTGCATTGTACCTGTAAAGCTAATGTTTAATTCAAATTTACTGTTCAATTCAACAAACAGCAAGAAGTAAACATTTATTTACAGCTTTCTCTGTCTAGTGCTAACAGAAAGAGAAGGTCTTGATTGAATTGGTGACATGTCCAATCTATCTGTCATGTTCCCTCACTCCTCTGCCCTTGATAATATTTAAACCCCATAACAATGACGAGTGGTCATACCCAACAGAGCTTTCCAAACTGAAACACATCAACAGTAACGCAAAGTGACAGTCTTTAATATGATGTAAGTGTAAAAGTTCCTTCCAGGAAGCAGCTCTTGTTCTTTTAGTGTAGAACAAGAGCAAGCTAAGTCTACATGTTGCATCCTGTAATAATCATTAGCAACACAGTTGTGGCACCGTGAGTCATATTAAAACCAGGCCAGACTGGTGCACTCACAGAGCTGTGAGGTTTGTGCGAAAGACTGACTTGTGCGGGAAGAGAGCTCTGAACGGCTCGCTGACACTATGGAAAAAAAATGCCGTTTGCACAGGAGCCAGGGGTAAGTTAGACTCGGCTGTGATGTAAAGACCCAGGCTGGTCTTGCAGGACGGGTGCAGCAGAACATCAGTAGAGACAGCAGGGGTCACAGGCACCTCACGAACACCCCTGAGATCTGCCAGGGCATTGACAGAGAAGCACTGCAGAATCACTAAAACTGTAAAGAAAACAGCTTGATAATGACATGAAAAAAGCAACGAAACTGGGCCCAGAAAAGCTAGCAGCATTGTTTATTGAGTGTGTTTACATTACATTATTGGCATTTAGCAGACACTCTTCTCTGGAGCGACTTACATTGGTGGCAACTTTTTACAATGTTATCCATTCATACAGCTTTACATTTACTGAGGCAATTGTGGGTTAAGTACCTTGCCCAAGGGTACAACAGCAGTGCCAACAGCAGTGGGGAATTGAACTGGCAACCTTTCGGTTATGAGTCGTGCTCCTTAACCACTAAGCTACACTGCCACTGTGTTTATTCTCCCATCAGGCTCACGGCAGCGAACGCATGCTCTTTCTTGTGCTGCTGCCTTTCGCAAGAAAGCCCAATCAAGCTGTTTTTTTTTTTTTTTTTTTTTTTTTGCATCATCGCAGGCGGAGATACACATACAGGACGTGACCAGTCAGAGGACCTTCACCTACTCGACGGTGTCGGCCGGCGAGGCCGTGACGGCCGAGCTGAGTCCGCCGGTGAGGCCCGGGGAGTACGCCTGCTCTGCGATGTTCCGCGGGTTCAACCTCTACGTGGAGTCCAGCCTGAGCAACCGCCTGACCGTCACCACTGGGAGTGGGTGCTTCTCCACACTTCTCCGCTGCTACATTATTCGATTACGCTGCATTATTAGACAGTACTACGCTACAGTATTGCCATTTAGCAGACGGTCTCATCCAGAGCGACTTGCGTAGGCTGCGGTTTTACCCATGTGTAGAGCTGGACATTTACTGAGGCAATTGTGGGTTTCCACACTGTGGAACCCAAATGGTTATAGACTGGTTAAGACTCCTTTACATTACATTGCGTTATTGTCATTTAGCAGACACTCTTGTCCAGAGCGACTTACATTGCGTACAGTTTTATATGTTATCCATTCATACACCTGGATATTTACTGAGGCCATTGTGGATTAAGTTCCTTGGCCAAGGGTACAACAGCAGTAGCCCCAGCGAGGAATTGAACTAGTGAATTTTTGGTTACAAGCCCTGCTCCTTAACACTACACCAGACTATACTACACTGCTGCCGTTTTCATCCTTTTGGAAAAAACAGCAGGTAAGAGTTAGGCAGGAGTAGAGAAAAGAGCATGAGGTTTAAACTGTATCAAGTCTGGGAAAGACAGGGTATTACTCCCAATGCACTACTATGCCAAGAGTTACCAAGTCTTTTAGCATAGCGGATATTGTCAGTCTTGCCTGTACGTAATGTAATGTACCATTACATTACATCACACAAACTGAATATCAGGTAACACATGGCGAGAAAAGAATGATCTTTCATCTATCTCCCTCTCCCTCTCTCTCTCTGTCTCTTTCTCCCCCTCCCTCTCTCTCTCTATCCCCCTCCTCCCTCTCTCTCTCTCTCCCTCTCCCTCTCTCTCTCCCTCCCTCTCTCCCCCTCCTCCCTCTCTCTCTCTCCCTCCCTCTCTCTTTCTCCCTCCCTCTCTCTCTCTCTCTCTCTCTCCCTCCCTCTCTCTTTCCCCCTCCCGCTCCCTCTCTCTCTCTCCCTCCCTCTCTCTCTCTCTCCCTCTCTCTCCCTCCCTCTCTTTCTCCCCCCTCTCCCTCCCTCTCTCTTTCTCCCCCTCCCTCTCTCTCTCTCCCTCCCTCTCTCTCTCTCTCCCCCTCCTCCCTCTCTCTCTCTCTCTCCCTCCCTCTCTCCCCCTCCTCCCTCTCTTTCTCCCCACAGCCTGGATGCCACCGAGTCCTGGAGTCATAGTCGGTGCTCTGCTCACAGCTCTGATTGGAGCTGGGATGCTGCTGTATATGTGCTTCTGTCGTCCAAGCAAAGAGAGCACGCAGACTCCTATACAGGAAAATACAGACAACCCCATAACTACCCCAGGGGCAAAGGCAGAGAACCCTGTGTTCATCCAACAAGAATAACACATATCGGAATCTATTGTGCCATTTAATGTAATAAATAATTTACAGTATGTTAAAATAATATACTATGGTGCTTTTCAGTCGATGAATTCAATACCCTTTTCAGCCACTTGGAGGTGTAATATATATATTTTTTTTTTCTAAGAAGGCATTATTGAATCTGTGTTAGATGGAACTTCTGTGTGTTTGTCATGACTGCACTAAAAAGTGCAAATGGTTGAAAGTGATATAACATTCAATTTGAATAAAGATATAAAACAGACATGGAGTCTAAAATTAAAGGCATTTTTCCATATCAGCTTCATGCGAGTACACTTTGAAAAGTAAAAGCCTAATTGCAGATTTTACATAAATGTTTAATTTGTATCTACTACACATTGTGGAACCCAAATGGTTATAGACTGGTTAAGACTCCTTTACATTACATTATTGTCATTTAGCAGACACTCTTATCCAGAACAATTTTTTGCAACATTGCATACAGTTTTACATTATCCATTCATACATCTGCATATTTACTGAGGTCATTGTGGATTAAGTACCTTGCCCAACGGTACAGCAGCAGTGCCCCAGCAAGGAATCAAACCAGCAACCTTTGGGTTACAAGCCCTGCTCCTAACAACTACGCCACACTGCTACCTACAGGATGAAGGGAGAGACATGGGTAATCAGTGTTAGAAGGAAGAGGTGGTGTCAAAGTTTTTAGGAGAAACACACATGGTAATCTATTTAAAATGAAGTTCATTCCCTTAACCACAACAGCACACTGCTTCCCCATTCACAATGTGTGAGTACAAATGTCTGAGAAGCACCCCATACAAAACAATATATATTTAAAATAAACTTTTGAGAATATACTTTATAGTCAAATCAACATATTGTTATGGAAATGTTATGTAATGTAAATGTAATGTTATGTACATATGTAAATGATTTGCATCAATATATTTTAATTGTATTTGCAGTGTATTCTTGGGTTGAATAACATGTATCTCAATTGTAACACAGTGAGAGGCTGAGCCTCAAAGTGCCAACACAAGCACCTGTGTGTTAAATTCACAACCCCGTAGCAAATATGGCTCCCACAGTGCAAACACTGGGTGTTTAATGGAAAAAAAGGAGAACAAAAATCTGTCATACAAGTCCAACAAGGGGAATCCAAAAGGCAGGTCCAGTCCAAACACAGGTAAAAACACAGTCCAGGTTCTCCTACAGACAAGGTCAGACACTAATGTAGATTCTGTTTTGCAATTCCGCTGCTCGCAACAGCAAATCCTCCTCACTCCCACACCTGGCACAGATAGGAGAGCTCTCTTTGATCTGGCGCTGACGAACCTAAACACCTGTCAGGTGTGTCCGCTGGGAGGCCATGGTGTGAACTTGGAGAAGGTGTGCAGCCACTGGTGGGGGAAGTGTTGGCCCTCAATCTCCTCCCCCCTTGTGTTACACCACATATTACAATATATTTGATTTTGGTAACTGGACGCTTTGAATGCAGTGTTGCATCAGTGTCAAAACCCTAATCACCCACCAAGACACATGACTGCCACCCTGTGGTGGGAGGTCTGTTTGAAACAAATTTGGTGGCAGTTTACCTCAGTGTTTCCCGACCCTACTCCTGGCGGCTCACTGTCCTGCATATCTTCTATCTATCCTTGCTCTACCTACCTGACTGAACTCATCAGTGGCATGTTTGATTAGCTGAGCACACCTGATTTAATCGAGCAGCAAGGACAGATAGAGGATATGCAGGACAGGGTGCCGCCAGGAGTAGGGTTGGGAAACACTGGTTTACCTGATGTCCTTCCGCAAAATCCTTTCCCCGAAGACACCATCGCTCTCCCCTTCATCAAGAGCTTATTTTAGGGCTGGTTCTTGGCCACCTCAGCTTGGTTAGGACTGGAAGTCCTCATAATACTGGGGGGAATGCCTCCTCAGACTCCTGAAATGAGAGCTTAAGTGCCTTAGCTTAGCTGCAAAGGCACACCGCAGCCCTGCTTAGTTAATCCATATGTGCAGTGGTCCCTTTAGGGATGAGAAAGTTGCACTCATTGTTCAATAATAATTCATACAGGGGTTTGCTGGCTGAATTAGTTTCCAGCTACAGGGCAGGCTTTTGTTTGAGGAAAGATGTTCTTGTGCAACAGGAGAGGAATTTTAAAAAATCAGAAATTTTTATCACAGATTCTTAAGGAAAGGGGTGTGGTCGACTTCACCAATATTGATGTTTCGGTTTTTGTCATCAAACAAATTTTGTCAAAGCAAATTTTGTATCATGATAAATTATTATTTTTCTTCAAAAAGAACAGGACCTTGTGTAGCATTCTTGAATGAGAAAAAGCATGTTTATCCTGGTGAAGCCACATGATGTATACCTCCAGACCAGCTCTCCACACACAATACAATGTCTCTTTTGTGCTCAGTGACAGCAGCAAGGAAGCACTCTGTTCAGACACACCCTTCTCACACAATTTTGAGTTAGGAGAGACATACATTTACAGTTTTGAGCTTTACCATCAGGTTTTTTTTTTTTTAAATTTTCCCCCTTTTCACCCTGTTTGGAACTGCCAAACATTAGGCTTGTCTCACAGTGGCAGCCTCTAAGGAGAAATGCAGTTTGCGGTGAGTGCAATCCTGCAAGATCCATGCACCTGGTGGGAGGACCCTGGCCTGACCTTCACACGTCCTCAATTAAAATTCATTATTTTTGAAACAAATTCTCTGTGTAATGCTATTAAGGCCGAAGTATGGCATTTAAACTTTTCAATCAGAAAGAAACATCGAACATGTATGTTTTTCTCTTTTGTAAGATGTTTATTTGTTCCTGTTGAGTCAGGGGTGTGAATAAACGCAGAAGGCACTGGAGTTATGAACTACTGTTTAAGGTGAGCAATGTAAAGCAGGTTTCAACAGATGCCCATGGATGTCTCAGTGACAGAGATGAATTGTTCCTCTCCATTCACCACACCTTGGTGTCATTGTTAAGCTGCTCTCTTAGATGTAATCCTTACATAAATAATTGCATTTCAGAGCCTAGAAGAGGCTCTGCTGACAGACAGGACAGCTCCAGTAGCGAATATGAATGGTCTATTCTTTCTGATACATACCTTAATTTCTCAAGTGCTTATGCGTTAGATCACCAAAATCATAGTTAAATCCACATTTTCTTTTGTTTTTGAGGATGAGCCAATGAAATTTTGTTGTGAGTGAATTTAGGAAATGTCATGGATTCGAGTATGTATTTAATTAACAAAAAACTTGTGTCGTTGCATTTAGTTTGGTCAAACCTTTTGAAAGTAAAACAAAAACAACATGATGATGTTTTTTCAATGTAGCATACTTCATGCTATCTCATTTGAACCTGTGTTTGTC